ATATTCGACAATGATAACATCAGTGACCTTTTGTATAGCTATAGTTAATCTCAAATTACTCTTTTTAAACAAAAGACAAAGACAGCAGCACATTTAGGACATTTTTATCAGCGAGTATAATATATACTATGAAAAGAAAAAGATTAAACTAGAATGAAAACGCTTCAGATTAGCCGGCATAGCAACCAATGTTAAGGTGTCTTCTTGCGTAATCCCTTCTGATTTTACACTTGTATGTATTGACAGACTCATCTTACTCTTCTAAGCATCATATGCATCTGCTCCACAGTTCGTAGTAGATTATCACTTGTTTTTCACTCCTGCCTGTTGCTCTTCAGCCTTACAGTGCTTCCAGTTCATTAACTCGTATCACTGTTTTCTTTCCTCTCTGCCCTTCACTTTGCCAACGTGTTTTGTGTTTTCCTTACATTTCTTTTGTCGTTCATTCTTTTTCTTCTGTCTTCATTTCCCTCTTTGTTCATCACCCTTCTTCCTTTCTTCCTTCTATATCCACTACTTTTCTTTGGACATGCCTTTTCTACCTTAAAGAACACAAAGTCAAGGGGCTCAAAGCACAAGTCCAGACGGAAATCCAAAAAGCAGAAAAGGCCTTCCGCTGTATGTAACTCCCTCACTTAGAGCCAAAATGGCGGCGTGTCGCGTGCACGCCGTCCATCGCGGCTCATTTTCTTTACCTCTAGAATAAATGTGCTTGTGCCTGTTGATTAACACGAAAGCATCACCATCGTTTACCTCTTTAATTAACTGCAACTTACTTCAACATGTAAGACTTTATTTAGATCCTTGTTTTCTTTTAGGAGAATGTTGGAATGCATTGTTTTGTTAGTTATCGCCTTTGTTGCATTTTAATTGTTGTGACTATTATTTTTGGATGGTGGCGTAGCAAACATGGGGTCCTTACATCACTGCATGATGAATAACCATTTCTTTGAGTTTATACTGTATTGTGCAAATGGAAATAACTAACCAGTGGGTTGCTCTCATATGTTTGTCTCCTCTCTGCTCCCTCTGTCCTTGATCCCTTAATCATTCTTGTCTTTTTTCATCTTTTGCCCTTCATCCCACCTGTCTCATTACTTTCTCTCGCTCATCTCACACCGTTCCCCAGGGCGGGAGGGTCCCTGTAGGAGCAGCAGCAACTCAGCACAACCTGAATGACCTCATCGTGATCCATAGCATCCCCCTGCAGCAGAGGAACCTGGGTGTGCTGGAGAGAAACCAGTACGGACACGTTTTACTCCCCAAATAGGAAATTAAAGCCAAATCAGTCACACATTTAGAAAGCATGTGTATATTCTTAGTATGTGACTAAATAGACATAGATATCTTGTTGTTTTCCATTTACAGCTAAACACATTCACCTCCCTCATGCCATGTTTTTGTCCCTGGTCTTAACACCTTGTTTGGCAGAGTACTCAGCCAGCTGGCTGGCTAAAAATGCACAATTCATCCTCTGTGTTTCACCCTCTCCTTCCCACTCAGGGAGCCAGAGGAGCGAGCGTCTCACAGACCAGGCTCCAGCGTCGTCCCCTCCAGCAAACCTCGCCCTCGCCGAGCCCTGGAGCAGAGCTCTTCCTCGCTGTCCCGCCCGGCGCAGTCGGCTCGGCGCAGAAACCCTCCTCCCCGAACCCTCCTGCCGCTGGTTCCCAGCCTGAGTCAGTCCAGCACAGCGGGATCCATGGATGAGGTCATCCGCGGGACACGTCTGTGAGTTTTATCATCCCGGGAACCCCACCCTCACTCCCGTCTCGCTTTTTACTCCCTCTTTCTCCCCTATGGCCTCTGAAGTTGTGCAGAGGCAGAGAGATTGCTTTGAAAACACACTCCCTTTCAACGTGTGCCTTTTGGCTCCGTGTCAGTAGAATAATGAGACTGGGAGGTGATGGAAGTTTCGTATGTGAAACCGACTTAACGGATGAACTTGTCAGGAACGAAAGGTGACAGACAAATACTATAAAAGCTGGAAACTCTACGTGATTATCTAATAGTGAACGCAGGAAGTGTAAAGTTCATGACTTTTGTAAAGATACAGTTTGACATTTTAGGTGATGTGCTTGTTTGCTTTCATACTGAGAGTAAGATGCAAATAATGATTTTATTTTTCATCACTGTCATCAAAATCAATTGCACAATGTCACCGTGTCTCGCCAAGAAACAGTTCAGCACATTTAGCTGATTATCAAAGTCTGCTTGGAAACATTTTAGCCTTTTTTTGTGTTGTGGTGAAAAAATTAATTCTAACTTCAGAGTTTCACAGAAATTCCTTCTCATCTCTTTACAAACTTGGAATCATAGATACAGCATAGAACAAACAAACTCTCTATACTTGCTGTCTTTAAGTGTGTTTTATTCCCTCTGCAGACCCACAGCCAGCGACCGACTAACGTCTCCAGCGTTGCCTCTCAGCCGAAACACACTTCTTCCACCCATTGGCACCGGGGATCCAGAATCATCTCACTCAGGGCAGCAGTCCAAACCTGCACAGGTACAGGCAGCAGCACCATGTACCAGTATCCCCGAAGAGTCACATAATGTATAGAGCCCAACAATGTACTGCAGCATTTTGTAAATGTGTCGATCAGTTTTTTATATGCAGTAAAACCCCCGTCATCAGCTGTGTGTCCATTTTTCCGTCCCTCTAGCGTCATAAAGGCCCGTCCAGCCGAGCCCACAGCGCTATAAATGACGAAGCTGGAAGTTCAATACCAAGAGATCGTCACCACCTGCTGGACGTCTTCTCTCGCCCCAACACAACTCACACATACAGGGTGAGAGTCTGGTCATCTGCACAGAATACAACACAGTAGACTTGCAGTAATAATAAGCAGTAACAGTTTTATTTATGGACAAACACAGTAGGTCTTTTTCTAACAGTGTTTTTGTAATTCCAAGTTGTTAGCGGTTGTGTTTAACTTCGGTGTGATCAGTATGTATAGCAGTACGTTTGACTCTGGCTGTGGTTTTTCAGTCGGACACTCCGTACCGTCGTTCCTTCACAGTATTGGACAACATCGGGCAGGGCCGGCCAGGCAGAGCCTCCGTGGGCACAGGTCAGAAATTCAACCTGAATAGCTGAATAGAAATCATTAAAAACCTGCAGGAAAGGGGTGCAGTGGTTCTCAATGCTTCTGTCAGTAGAGCAGATCATCAATGTTCTCATTCAAACTGATGTTAAACTTGATAATACTGTTAAATAATGGCGGATAAAGTGGTGAGCTGGACGTCATCATAGTGTTCAAACTGAAATGTCAGTGATTAGTGATTACTAAAACCACTTAGAGTGACAGAAGCTGGAAATGTAAACCATTTATCTAAAGCTGTGAGCAGTCAACTATGCATCCATTATGCTTAGCTCCTTATTTTACCCATTTATCATTTCCTGTTCTTGTAGCCTCAACATCTCTGTACACTTAGGTAGATTAACTGACTCCGTATATGGATATACTTTAATAAAATCACAATTTCTGTTTGATTCAATCAGTTGAAGTTCCCCACAAACTTTAAAAGTTGGGGTACAGAAACATTGGTTAGGAATCTCTGGTACTGCACACAGATTCCTGCTTTTCCTTTAGGTTGTTACTTACATTAACTGCGTCAAAATGGATTCTGTCGCACACCGCTTGATCACTTATGCATTCATGTATTTATTCATTCCACCAGACTCTCTTGGAATCGGTGTGACTGGCATCAGCCTCGGCATCAGTAGCTCATCTTTCTTGGACTCGTTTTCCCATCACCCCCTGGGGCACTCGCCCATCAAAGACGAAGAGGAGCCAGACCCGCAAGCGCCCGTCCCAGGTCAGTAGATTAAAGTGGCTGGTGAAAGCCTTCCAGATTTGGACCTCAGATCAACTATAAATGTGAGAGGTGGCAGCAGCTGGCTTCAGCTTTACCAACTGGTAATCTTATTTAGGTTGAGGTGGTTCATTAATTTCATTTTTTTTTCTTCTCTCTCCCTCCTGTAGCTCCACTGGGGCCTCGGTCCTACACCAGAGGAGGCATCTCATCCAGAGCCAGCAGACCTGGCTTGTAGTTTGCCTCTGCTCTCCGCACCTTTCAGCCATTTATCTTTATACAGCGCAACAACGTGCAGCATCTGTGCCCACTGAACAGTTTTGTTTTACCGAAGTAGCAGATTTTTTTTTGTTTTTTTCACATTATGCTGCTTTAGTAAAGTTTTTGTTAAAGGACTATTTTTGTATTGCAGAAATCAGCTCATGTGGCTGCCAAACACAACTGACTAGCAACAGTAACTCCATCATCATGTACAGAATGAGCTGTATACATGGATATTTGTACTGGGTATGTATGATGTGAATGTGTATATATATCTATTTATATGTGAATGTACTGTATATTATCCTCTGCGGTGTTGTTGTTGTACTGGTCAGTGACTATGCAGGGAATAACACACCCACCCAGACAGGGATAGAGAGGATAAAAGGCACTTTTTTTTCCTCTCTGATGCAACATCAGAGAGTTTGGTACTGTATCTTTTATAAGAACACAAGTTTCCGTCGCCCTGCGTTTAAAAAAAATCTGTATATATTTCGAGCCTCTCATTGCATATCATTGGAACAGTATCACGAGATGCCACCTTTCTGTTAAAATCAAAGGAATGAATGTGGCATCTGTATGAGCGCAACATCTCTGCAGCCCAAGTGCTTCTACTAATACACCACTGCAGGAATACAAGAGGCATTTATAGGTATTTGTAAATAACTAAAGGAATTCATTTGTCATGTTGGTACAAAATGCTGTATTTGGTGTCATTTTTTTCCTTTTTTTTCTGAGCAAAGCCAAGTGGGGACGCTTTGACAGGTAACATCAGGGTTACTGCACAAAGGCTAGTTTCTACATGTATTCATTCTTGAGATATCAGACAGCCATGCCACAAAGGCAACAAAAGCTTGAAAATTAAAGCTCTTCAATGCATTCTGTTTTATACTTAATAATAAAAAAGCTGCGTACAAACGATGTACTACATAAATATGGATTTATTCGTGTTTTACAACGAGAGAAATGACAAGAAATAAAAGATGCATGAACATTTATGAGGAGGTCTACAGAGGGAACCACGTGTACTTCAGTGTTAATCAAAAAACTGTCTTTTTTTTTTTTTTTAAATGAACAAATGCAGATATCTGCTGCAATCAGAACCTTTAAACTCTTCACTTTTTTCCTTTTTTTCCTTTGGGTGTTTTTTTGGCATATTTTGCTTCCAGGTCTGAGAGGAAACTGTTGAAATTCTGCTCTCTGGACTTCTGCTTTTGCTGCAAAATAAGAAAGAAAAGTTAGAAACAAACAACAACAACAACAAAAAAGCCAAATTTCATATGTACCGTACATGTGTGCATATATACTTGTTACCTTAAGCATCATCACAAGACTATCATCCTCATCGCCGAGCCCCATCTCTTTCTGCATTTCTTCTGCTTCTTGTCGCTCTCTGTCAGCCTGGAAGATCAATTGCAGTGAGACTTTGTAAAATTCAAAGAGAGTGAACACACCACTGAACATCAAAAGTAGATGATTAAAGGGTTATGGGTATATTATGGCAATCCAACAATAATGAAAAAGAAACTCAACTGAACAAAATCTACATAAGCTGTGAGGATTTTCAGGCTCTCACCCTCTTCCTGCGTGCCCTCTTCTTCTTGTTACTCTCCTGAGTAAACGCTGGGAAGGATGTGACTTCGCCGCCGTCTATGGCAGCCTGGATGATGCTGCACAGCCTGGGTTCATCTTCCTGGGAGCAGCACAGAGCCGAAGCTGTGATGGCGTCCATGTCGCCCTGGTGCTGCACGTAAAGCCGGATAACATCCTCACGCTCCTCGTCGGAGCCTTTGTATTTCTTCTCGAACTCAAGGATGTCCTGCACTGTGATCTAGGAGGAGGACGGGGAGAGAGGAAGCGACACAATGTGAAATTGAATGATGCTGCTCCAAATGAGCTAGTTGAGAAATACATTCAAATTAATGTATGGCAGATGCAGTAAACCCCCAACATTCCTGGAATACAAGTGACTCACTTCAGGAGTCACGTCATCACATGTATGAGACAAAGCAATCAGAGTGATTCATTATTGAGTCACGTTAGTAAACAAACAAAACACCTGCTGAGCTCCTGTACCTTGGGGAAGAGGAGTCTCCAGTAGTCTTCCCAGCAGCGGTCCTGACTCAGGACATCAGACTCTTCATCCACCACTCCCTGCTCGTCATAAACAGCCCTCTGCTCCTTGTCGCTCAGCACCGCGTACAGCTTCCCCAACACCTGCACGGACATTTTACACACATATGCAGCCCCTATTATACACTAAATATGAGAATTATAGAAACAGAATTTGGGTTTTTCCTGGCTCAGAATGGGGATTTAGGAGGTGACCACGCATGGCAGTAGGGATCATCAGTCTGTGTTGAGAGAGATCCATCCATTTTCCTCTAATTCTTAAGTTGGGATTTTTCTTTTGCATAGACTAAAAACTCTGAGGGATGCTTAAAATCTCTTTGGAGGCTGCAAAAAATGCCTCAATCCAGGAGAAAACCCTGATGCATGCATTAAAAGACCAGCGTATTGTGTGCATTAGTAACCAGCAGTTCTAAAAAGTCACGTCTACGGCATGTTTTGCCAAGAAATTTGTCAAAACTCAACTGTGCCTTATATTATGGACGCTGCTCCTTTTAAAATCTATGGCAATGCTGTAATTATTTAGCAGATATTTTTTGTACCTGGAAACACTGGATTACCAGGGTTGTTGCAACACTGCTATAGAGTATTTTTAGATTATATAATTCACTTGAGATGCCAAAAAGACTGACATTTCATTCTGGTTATATGTTCTGTACACACTAGTGTTTGGACTGAGTACTGATAAACCCATGAAACACCATGACACATACAGTATAATATAATATGTAATGATGAAACTACACATTATGCTTAGTTTGCCTTCATATCTATGTTATTTTGCTGCTTAAATGACACCATCTTTAATTATTTGAGTGTGTATGTATTTCAGGGGTGTGTTAAAGCTTGAAAATAAACAACAACAACAAAAAAGAAGCTATAAAAGGAGCAGGTTTTGTTTTCAATAAACGTAAAGACATAGCTTACCTGATGAATCTAATAGGCTAACAGGCCTCTGTTTCACTGGTAAAACAATGCTTGAAAAAACTCATCACACATGCATAACAAAAGGCTTTAGGATAAATGTTGACTGCACACCAGGAGGAAGGTGCTCAACCTGCACCATCTCAGTTAGCAAAGCTAGCTAGCTGGTTAGCCTAGCTTGTTTTGTGTGCGCTGTATGACAGCTAACAACAACGGAGGGCTCACCTGGAACTTCTCCGTGGCCTGCGGGTCATCGGGAGCCCGGTCTGGGTGGACTTGTAGAGACACTTTGTAGTAGCTCCTCCGGATGTCCGCCTCGGTCGCCTCTTTGTTGATTCCCAGAACCTCGTACAAGTTGGAGGTGCTGAACAGCTCCTGGCAGCGGTCGAGCAAACCCATCCTGACAGCTCTCCGGTTGCACCGAGGACGTTATTCCGAGTTTTGACCGGTAAAGTATCAACTCTTAAGCTTCCAAACGGCGTGTGTTGCTTCGTTTTATTGCTGTTTACTCTTAAATTCTACCAAATCTTTTGTTCTACGTTGCCTTGGTGGGAGATATCAATTTGGCGCGCTCGCTTGTCACATTCACCCGTACGTACAGCGACGTGCTGACGTAACAACAGAAACAGCTTCTGATTGGTTCATGTGACCGTCGCCGTCAAATAACGTAATGAGGTTATTGTTAGTTGGAAGTTGGTTTCTGGGACACTTTGGGTCAAACTTGTTCGTTATGCATAAGATCAACTATATTCTATGTTCTTTGATGTTACTCTGACTTTAACTGCAACATGAATTATAAATTGCACATACAGAAGTGTTTAAAATATTTTTTTCTAAACAGTTTTAATCTTGCTATATAATTTACAATTTAGGATCCAAGGAGAAGAGTTATAACTTTACTTCATTATCGGTGGTATTTTAAATCCAGGACAAAAATAATCCATAGGGATTTTTTTCTATTCTATTTAACCTACAGTAATCTAAGCAGTAACCTAAGAAATCAAGCTATATAGCAAGTGATCAGCAAGTTAATGTAACAGAACATTATTAGCTAACATAAAGTCAGCTACTTAGTCTTCTAGAGATATGATAATAATAAATATTTACTGCTAGTTTGCCCTGATGTTACTGTATAAAATGGTAGTGTACACAATTAAAAATCAATTGTAAGCTTAGTGTTTTAAAAATCACTGATGTCCAAGGAATGTCCTGTTTTTACACTTACACATTATACACAAGAAGTTTTTTTTTTTTTGTCATTTTTTGTTCTAATTAAAGACACCACATGACTCCCGTGTTAACAATAAAGAAAAGTTAGTATATGGATATTCTGTTTTTAAAAAAACACAAAGGCTTATTTTGTACTGTAAGAAAATGACCTTATCTCAAAACCACTTCTTTTGATTTTCTCAGATCAGTAAAATGATTTCAATACTACTTAAAGATTAGTAAGGTCACTATCATCCAAGAAAGGACCTGAAATGAATATTGACTGATGGTCAGAGGAGGAAATACAGTGAGTAAGGCTTTTAACTTTGAGGGGGCATTTTACTCCAGTTTACACTCTCTATACATATTGATTTATATTTTTGTGGCATAGTTTAGATTCATTTGTCCACTTTGAGGGAGGAGGTGCAAATGAATACAAAGTTAATCTGAGTGATCACCTTCATCACCTATTTGGGCATTTACAGTCACCAGATCTCAACCCAGTTAAACATCTGTAAGAAATTTTGCACCAGTGGGTCAGACAACACTCTCCACCAACGTCATCAAAACACCAACTGAGGGAATTTCTCATGGAAAAAAATGGCGTTCAGTCCCTCCAGTAGAGCTCCAGAGGATGCTGTATGTTGAGGATGTTGTAGAATTAATGCCATGCCATTGCACTGGGGCTATTCTGGTGGCAAATGGTGGCTCAATGCGCTACTAAGACACTTTGTGTTGGTTTTTGACTTAATTTGTCACCCATCTGCATATACTGGTATGATGTTGGTTGCATAGAATTACACCAACTAGCACTGAATTGCTTTAGTTAATTGACTCCTGGTGGGTCAAAAAGACTTGCAAAAAATATATGTGTAGAGTCTGGTAAATCTCATTATTAACTGATAATTAATATGTTATTATATTAGAATTTGGTTCATTTTAAATCGTACTTTAATTGAAACACTTTTGTAATTAAATTTAATTGAACCTTACACTGTTGTTATAATCAGCTGCACATTCTATGACTTTGACCCACTTCAGAAATAGAATTATCAGAATCTGACAGCCAAAAACAATTCAGTGATGTCTGACTGCAGGTAATATTTGGTCTTGTTTATGCAGACTTTGGGTTATGACATAAAAAAATTGATTAGTGGACAAACGACAAACTATATTAGCCTGGCAATGCACAGCTACTTTAAAACACAGTTCTTCTATCTGAAACACTGCTTAAATTTCCCTTTTATTATTTCAACTTGAGTCTTTCCAATGCAGTTATATCTAGTTACCAAAATAAAAATGCAGAATTTTCCTACGATTAAGTTTCGCAAATTATTGAGGCGTTGTACTCAACAAGCCTAATCTAGTACAATACAATCGAAGCAACCATTTGGATGCAAGAAAACCGCCTTGCACAGTCTAATTTACATTCATAGATCAGTCAGTCAAGAACATACAGATACCCTAGTATTTATTGGTGAGTTTGAAGCAGCACAAGAATACATCAAAGACAATGAGGCAAGTCACTAAGTATTTTTCACTGCTTCATGCGAAAGCAGAACACAAAGATACACACCGACTTTGAACTTAGCATCTTTAGATTGCACCCATCTGTGTTTCTAAGCCTGTACAATATGCAGCACTGGAGATGTACACTGCAAAGCCATCCTGTCTCAGATGTTATCTAATTATTGCCCCATCTGCTTCTGTTGCATATTTGGCACAGTCTCTGTTGTTGTTGTTGTATTGACTCTCTGTCATCACGAACCTCGTCTGTCCTTTGTACTCAGACACAAAATAAGCACTTGGACAACTGGCACATCATTATCATGATCAACAACGAAAAAACAAAATGACGAAAGCACAAGAGTTGTATTGTAAATGGTATGAACTTTTGCTGGTGCGCACATCTTTCTCATACGCTTTCCATCCACTTGCACTAATCGTGTAAGTAGAGTTTGAAGACAACCATTGCTCCTCCAGAGGGAATATGTCCTCGTTATGGTAACAGTCTCTCCACAACAGTCAAATGGCTTCGTTCTCTTGGTCAGTCTTAACAGCATGTCCATGGCTGATGCATTTTCCCCTAAATTGGGACAGTTTCAAAACCTCCTGTAGGGGGCGGCAGCTCAGCATTCCTTTCTAGTCTTCACCATCTTGCTGGCGTACTTGATAGGGATCCCCCAGCGTCTCATTAGATAGACATCAAACACATAGGCCATTCCTGGCTCCAGGCCCCCGATCACAGCTGTAGTGACGGCCCGTCGAGGATTCAGCTCCTGGAAATACTTGCAGAGAACCCTCTCGGTGTCAGAGCGCGACTCCGGCCCCAGACAGGGCGCAGTTAGAGCTGTGGTCTCCGCTTCACGGTTTCCAAGCTTTCTGCGGTACACACAGTACAGGCTCCTCTCCTCTGTGCCCATCCACGCCAGGGTGACGCTGTTGCAACCACGCAACCGGTTGAAGGACTTTATCTGCAAGGTGGAGGGCAGAGATGGGACCCCTCGGCGGTGGTAGGCTGATGACGTCTGCATTTTGACTGAAGCCATCAGTCCTCCTGGCAGCGCTGGGTCTCTAGCAGCAGGGATCTGCCCAGCGGTAGCACCTTCTCGCTCCAAGTGGATGAGATATGAAGGACTTCCCTGGAGCCAAATGTGCACCAAGTCCCCTCCCACAGCTTGTGAGGTCAAAACATGACCTTTACTCGACACGGTAACCTTGACCTTCTCATCTCCACCGCAGCTCTGCAAGGTGAGGAGGCCGCTCTGCTGCCAACCGCGAGTACGGAAACTGAAGAACTGCTCTGATTTGGAGCTTCTGTCGTGGAAGGTCACCCATCTCAGCTCTCCCTCTCGAAGCGTGGTGATCGCGGGTCGAGCCTCCTCGTGTGTCCGAGCGTAAGTCCCCTTGTAGGCCGCACTGGTCCCGTTCAGCCTGTCCATCACAAAGACGTCAAAGAAATACTGGGTGTCAGGTAGGAGCTCGGAGACGGTGCAGACGCTCTCCGTCCCCTGACATGCACACTGAAGATCAGCAAACTCATCAGTGAGGGAGGAAGGTGGAGAGCTCTGGGGTTCAGGAAAAGTGTCCCACTGCTGCCACCACCACTCTTTCAAAATGGGCCACACCGTCACTCTCCTCTTTTTCTCCTTCTTCTCTTGCTTCTGGTCGCTCTCCTTCCTCATGCTCTGCTGGGCAGCACAAAGGCTGCGGTAGTTTTGCTGAGAGTTGACGAGGACGCAGTAGTCGTAGCTGTTCTGTGTGTGTGGGAGGTCCGTTATGGAGGCACTGGGCGCCCAGCTGAGGGTGACACTGGTCATGCCCACACCTAACGTGTGAACTCGCGGGTCGGCCGGGAGCAGAGGGAAGATGCCTGAGGGCCCCAGGCCTTCATGGAGGTACACTGTAGCTCTGGTGTTCTGCTGTTTGGAGCGCAGCCTCAGGATGTAGATGGAAGCAGGAGGGTAGGAAGGACCCCTGTATGTGTCCACCGCGTTGCCGGCGAAGCTGTGTATTTTCTCCTCGGTTGCAGGACCTCGCCACCACACCTCGGGCGTGCTCTTTTTGGTGCTCCCTGTGAGGAAAGGCGAAATTGATCAAGTCAGAGATGTGTCTTGCTCATTGTTGCGTCACTTGGATGTTTGACTTTCAGTGAGCAGAAGGATGCATGTTCACAGTTTGACACGAGAAGACTGTTTTTACATTCATCTGCTAAAGAAAGGAAGCTTCTCGCTACGCAACATAAATCTAAACCAAATATATGATGCAACTTATTAAGTGTTGTGTGGAAACTGGCAGCCTTCAGTAGACACACTGACGATGGACTTTTGAGGAAAGTAGGACATATATATAATGCATCTAATATTTGCGTATTCATAGATTCTGGACTTTTAAATTAGGCAGAATGATTTGACAGAATTTTCGGGCCCTAATTATAATTCAAAGCAGAATATTCTGATATGTCTTAAAACCAGTCTGGAAGTGATCTTAGAATATTATGACCAAACACTGGATGATCTTACATCAGGCTGCTAATTGTGATTCTTAAATAAATAGTTGACATTTTTGAAGAGCTGCTTACCAGATGACATCCATGCCACATTCACATCCATGTGGTATCTATACAGTTGTCTTAGTGTCACCTCCAGACAAGGTTGCCAGGCAACCAGTGGAGACTCTAGCACGTCACTGCGTTCAAATAATAAATAATTTCAACAAATAATTCTATGCAAAAGCTTAATTTTTGCTTTTAGATGTCTGTTTATGATGTGGAAAATTTAACACACACGTTACAGTTTAGTAACGTCCGGCCCAGCTAGCTGTTTCCTACCACTTACAGTCTTTATGCTAAGCTAAGCTAATCGCCTCCAGCTCCATGCTTAGAGCAGCATTTACATTTTCTCAAACTGTTCATTTGATTCTTGCTTTTCTTAAAAGTCATATTTCGCTTCCATGTTTCTACCTGAATCCACAATAGTTTATAATTGAATTATAGAAATTAAATGACACGTAATAGACGCTGTAATCAAAAACGATGAAGATCAAACGAACAGAAATTCTATTTAGTGGTTATTGAGCCAATGTTGTGTTTTATAACAATGTGGAGGGACCAGGAGAAAAGAAAGCAAAACTATTACACTGTTCGGGTGTATTATTGCACATTTTATATTTTAATTTACAAGTGCAGCTACTTCAAACTACCTAAAACTACAACTCATCCCACTGAAACCTGGCTGATATATAGAAAAGTCTGAATAAAAGAACAGATAAATGCATAAAATGTCAACTGCCACTTCAAAAAACGGTTGCCATTATTTTCATTCAAACCTCAAGGGTTCTCATTTTGAAAAACAAACTCGTCACTTGAATGACGCAACTGGCGAATAAACACGAAAAAAAAATAAAAAAAATCACCACCACTTGTCTTCACTGTTCATGTCTCGACTAGATGAAAAATCGCTCCTCAAATGAGACCAAATGTTACAGAATCAAAGTGAATAATTCAGGCTGGCAATGGGGACCCATGAGCTCGGGGTCTGAATGATTCATGTGTCATTTTATAACTTCATAATGTTATTTTAGCATGTCGAGAAGCTTGTTTAGGTAACCTGGAAAAATGCTCATGGAACAGTCTGAGGGTCTGTTTTTCTTTTCCAGGAATCTGTGGCTTTTTTTTTATAGTCTTGAAATGTGATTACTTTGGTTTACTTTGAGCACTGATTGCTCTTGCTTGAGTACTTATTGTGCAGCTCCATAGTAAGTTTAATCCTCTGAGTTTATTTAATTAGTTTGGTTTGCTAGCCGCAGAATATTGCAGAGCCCGGTTTTATTTTATTGTTTACTCAATATTTGGATTGGGAGCTGGCAGCCGTTTTCGGTGTGTGTTTTACGATTCTTTAAAATCCGAAGCCTGGGATAAAATTTATGATAATGTGACAGCCAGATATGATCACACTCACTGTCTCTGTCCTTGTCAGAGATAATGGGTGGCATTTAAAAAAAAATATAGCCCTTTTCCGTGCTTTGAACTTGAACAAATGGGCGCATTGTGCTGATAAAGAGATAAAATATCTGCAAGTTTGGAGACAATCGCTTTTCAAAAGGCACTCAGGCTTCAGCTGTGAGATGATTGTTTGATAGAAATCAGTTTGTTGCTCTATGAATGCGGTATAACAGTGGTAGTAAATTAAAGCTGTGACCTCCAAGCTGCTAATATAAAAAAAGACAAACAAACAATGCAAAACCCATAAAAACAAAGCTTTTATCGCCTGTTAGCTTGGTCATCCTCTCTATGTCATATACAGCACATTTTGATCATAAAGCAGCTCCAGGGCTCTTCTACACATCCAGATTTAAGCAACGATTAGATTCTCTGCCCTTCGCTTAATCCCTGTATGTTCTGTAATCGTGATCACATCTAACTGATCGTCTTAGCTCAGCCAGATGTGGAGGGAGCTGAGGTAAAGAGGGTGTCCAGAGGTGCGGTCTTACTATCTCCACTCACACTGCAGGCTTTTGAGCGGTTTGTCCTTCAGGGTGCGAGCGGCCAAGCTCCACTCGATGGGGAGGTCGCAGGGGCCCACGGTCACCGACATGGCCAGGGCTTTCTTCTTCAGCGTGAAGTACAACCTGTGGACAAGCACCAACGACAACGGCGAGAAGTTGTTTGATTCGTCATGGGGGGGAATGTCAAACAGATAACAAGCTGTTTCCATTCAGCTGCAAGGTGAATGATGGGAAGACTAGATATCTCCCAGTGCACACTGAGCAACATTCTTTCATTTTGTTGGATGATTCTTAGATAAGGTGGTCTGGTTATAGTGGAGTCTTTTTTTTATACTCAAACTTGACGATTTCAACGCTTCAGACATTTGCCTGTGTTTCTATTCGCCTACATGCTGATCAGTCGTTTGATAGCAGATCAGGAGAGGTGACCTGGGAATCTGATGATAAGGCTGCACTGACAGTTTCAGATGGATATCTGCCGGCTTGCTGCAACCATCTGGGATCGTGCTTAGCATAGAAACTATTAAGTTCTTCTTTTTTTTTTGTGATCAGATGTTTTAGGAAAAGTGTTACTGCGTGCTGGATTGCAGATTTGCATAACTGATGGCACTTCAGATGCTTTTTAACATTCACGCTGCGGCGATCTGGTCTTATGTCACTTCTATCACTATTCTTTATCTCTGAGGTTGATCTCATTTCAACTCAAAGTGTTTTGTAGAATTCCTTTACAGTAAGTCACCACTCATGAGAATTTAGTAACCGCATGGTTGTTCCTTAATAAATATTAGGTCTACTTCTGCACAAACACAATTATTCATGATGCTGTGCAGATGGCGTTTGTTTCCAAACAGATGTGCGACACTGTCGTTCTCAAGGGCACATTGCAGCTTATTTAATAGAGTGATTAATTTCCGAATCAGTGTTTTCTCTCCATTATTTGCCATGTGGCTCTGCATGACTGCACTGGTGGACAGACTGCTGCACACAGGGAGATGCATTTCGCAATTTTCAGCTCCCACATTCAGAAAGCAAGCACTGGCACTGTTGTGTCGGGTTCAGGCCAAATGGGCTTCACTTCCTCTTGCTCTCTCAACAGTGGAGCTGGAATCAGCCTCTGTCTCCAGAAAGGTGACGATGGAGAATGACTGGTGACACGTTAGTGAAGCAGGAAGGACGAGCAGACCTCAGGATTTACCCATGAGGCTTCGTGAAGTGCAAGTGAGGACAAACGTTCACTTTTCTCGCTGTTAGCGAGTCATTTAGGGTGAGTTTGAAAAACATATTTAGCTCCATGCGCGGGAGTTTAACTTGCTGCAAAAACAAAGCAAACTGTTTTCTGTTTGGATTATCAGTGACTCATTTGCATCAGACACAAGTCTCAGTAGAAAAAAGTGACATACTGAGATATCATGTATGATGAAAGTGCAGTTTTTATCCATTTTTATAATCTTTGATGGCATATATTACCAACATGTGATGGTTCCAGCTTCTGAAAAACGTGAGCATTTGACGTTTTCTCTTTCCAATAGTCAGAAATTGAGTAACTTTAGATTTGGGACAATTAGTTGGATAGATTTATTTGAAGAACTGTGATATATGTTATATGCTAGAGTGCTTTCCTACCTTTCTGATCAGTTTTAGGACCCCATCTCAAAAAGAAATTAACCAACATTCTTGACAATATGTGTTAATTTGAATGTATTTTAATCTTTATGTTATTTAACTGTATTTAAATGGATCTTATTATGATTTTGTTCTCATATAAGATTCAGTCAGATTGCCATTATTCACATTTTTGTGTGATTATATTTTCACTTACTGCCACATGTTGTAAAAACTGTGCATTTCAAGCAGGTACCCATCACTTCTTTTTTTTTCTTTTGACCTATTTGTTAATTTGCTAACTACTTTTTATGAACACAAATCCCAGCAGTAGTGAAAAGCAAATTTTAAGGTATTTTTCAGCTCTGTTATACATTTCAAAGGGAAATATTGCACTTTTTACTCCACTGTAACTTATTTGGCTTTACATTAAACATCAAAGCAAAGCAAAAAATGTATGGATCCTTAATTCTAGTTGAATAATGGAATATAATTTACTCTGAACTGCACAACTTTTTACTTTTTATGTACTTTTGCTTAAGTGAAAACTTAACTGCATGACTTTTACTTGTAAAGGAGTGTTTTTCAACTGCTCCTTTTTCTAAGTACTTTTCCCACCACTGATCACAGCACCTCGTTCATCAACGGATTCATCAATATTAAAAATAATCTTGGTGCAGCCCTAATGGCAAGCCACACGAATACTTCCCATCTGTTACCTGCGGGTTCGTCCTTTAGGGAGCGTTACAGAGGTGATCTTTCCCTCCGGTAACCACGTAGTCGGGCGAAGCGGCACTTCATTCTCGGGTGCCAGAGCTGAGTGCACCTGGGGCCACGAGGAGCCCCAAACCAGCGCCAGAGCTGCACCGAGACACCAGGAGAAGGTCGTGAGCGCCATGGCTGATTCTTTGCTCTCTTTCTGTCTTGTACTCTTCTGACTTTCCTCAGTCCCTTACGTCCTGGATACCTCCCAGACTCTGAAAAACGCACGGTGGAAAGGTCAGGAACATCAATCAGAGCCCATCAGTAACACACACTCACAGTCAGGCACTCAAACACACTTAGTTAAATTCCTACTGTACCATTCACACAGACACTAAAGAGCTGTAGCGGCTGATGATTCATTGATATGAAGAAACATCCTATCCTATTCAGACAGAATTATTCATGCCGGGGAAAAGAAATTGCCATGCTATATTACTCTGGGATGTGTGTGTGTGTGTAGCACAGCTTGACACTCACTGTAAAAAATCACCCATCGCACCACTTTTCAAAGTGTGAAGTGGGTTGCTAATATCGCTCTGAAGTCGATGCCTTTACATCTACATTTCTATTTTTAGTTGGAGGGTTCAAATGGGTCTGTTCTCCAAATATCTTTCATTACGGTTATTAGCAGGCGTGCTATCAGGAGAAAGTGACGCCATGCTGGTGTGCAGAGAGGTACACAAACAACACCTGGAGGTGCTCTGATGCAGTCAAATCCAATCAGCATAGATTAATGCAATGCCTAACAAGAGTGTCAGATGTTGTCTTTCTTTCTCTCTTTTATTTTATTCTACTGGTTCACTGTCTTTTTTTTTTTAATGTGTGTGTGTCTATATGTGGGTGTGTGGTTGTGATTTAGTGATAGTAGATGATTACAGGTCTCAGTGTTCTTCTTCCTCCCGGGAGAAAACACATTTGTTCAAAGTCACACAGTCTTCACAAACGCACTCCCCGCCTTCCCCTAACAAGGTGTATTATGTCAGCGCCGTGCCCTATAGATCAGATGACAATCACAGTGGAACCACGGAGGCAGCTACAGAAGGTACATCTGAGTCTTGCGGGCCCCGGGACGCTCCGACATCCAAACTCACAAACCGTCGCACAGCTACAAAGTCGCACAGAAGCGCCTGCTCATTATCCTTGCACAGAAAGAGGGGAGTGAACGACCCATAAAGCTTCAACTGGGAGACATGCAGCGGGAGAGAAAAACAGATTGAAATGGGAGGGAGGAGAGGAAAGGGGTAGGCAGAGGAAGGGAGGGCTGTGGAAATGGAGAGCAAGAAGAGGAGGATGTTGGATCCTGGAGTAATTAGAGGGAAGAAGACGGAGAGAGGGAAAGGGGTAGAAAGTGAAAGTGAAAAAAGAGGAATCAGAGGAGATTGCCAAGCAACAAGGTTGCAATGAATTTGTCTCTGAGTTTTAGCCAGCCATATGAAGCTGATTGGTGTTTACTTTAGACCCCGTGCCAAATGTCCAGCGTGTCACATATTTCCAGACGGCTGCACAACCTCACAGCTCCTCTCACACTCCCCCCCTCCTCCTCCTCTTCTTCCTTCCCACCACCACCACCACTCCACCCCGGCTTCATTCAATCTTCAAGATGAGACACAAAAAAGCTTGGCGGGCTTGTTTCTTCAAAACGCACCCGCTGATAAAATATGCATACGGCTCCTCAGCAAATTATGGCCAATTGAATTTTCATAAGGCAAAAAGGCTGGGTCTTACAGAGAGAGGGAGCTTAGTGAACTTAACTACCGCCCTCTATAAATAAATACACACTCTCCTTTAAACACAGGAGCTCATGACTTTGATGGTCCCGCTCACTCACTGCTCAGCTCTATTTGAGTTTCCTCTTTCTATTATGTTTATCCCAGACTGTCAACTGGCTGCATTTATTCTGGAAACTGTTTGGGTTTTAATTAAAGATACTTGAGCCCTGCTCTGTTTATCTTTTTCTTTCTCTCTCTCTCTCTCTCTTTTTCCTTTCTCCTGTCTGCTTTTTCACTTCATCTGGCCTCCTTATTTAGAAGTTGATGCAGGCTCGGTTTCAGAGGGACAGGTTGAGTGCTGTGTGTGCTGTCTGTCTGCACATTGTATTAGCTATCTTCTATCTCCCTGGGCTCTGGCAGGACCATCTGCCTTCTGTTATCTGTGGGCAGGGACAGATTAAATGGCATGGGGTGGTCCCTGCAGGATCCGTTGTCCCCCCCTCCCCTCCGCCTCCTCCTCAAACTACTACGGGCAGAGAAGTCGGCCTGTGATTCACGGCGGGGGTTGAAGAGATGATGGCGGGTGTAACATGCGATGACCATGGAACTTGATAGGATTTTACGGCTGATTTTCTACCTCGCTGCGTGTACATCTGAATACATTAACCCTTCTTCCTGACTGTCCCTTTTGTGCCTCTTGTTCTCACACACTTTTATACAGTAGCATGCCATTTCTTCCTACTTTGTGTCTGTTTGTGCTCCATCTGCACTCACACTTTTCTTTGAAAATAACAAGAGAACACACCACAACCTTTGCACAAATGTGATGGTATCACAGTTAAAGTACCTTGCATCTGTCCAGTTTTTTTTTCTTTTCTTTAACCCTCCAGAGATCACACACACACACACACACACACACACACACACACACACACACAAAAACAACTGATTCAAAGAAACAAGTTGCTGACTTACACAACCAGTTGAAATTTGAGACGCTGACGCACTCATTCACACACACACACACATGCTCTTGCAAGGACAACATGCATGCATGCATCCCCCCTTACCTTCTCTCAGTGCACGCTCTCCCTCTCTGGTGCAGGGAGTGAGGGATGGGATCAAAATGAGAGAGAGGATGGAGGAGGAGGAGGAGGAGGAGGAGAAGAGATGGGTTGGAGGGGAGGAGGGGGGGACGGATGAGAGTCGGTTGCGAGGAGAGGAGGAGCGACGGCAGGTTGTTGTCGGGTGTTCCACTGACTCCCATGAGCTCCCCCCTTACTTCAGGAGGTGTCTGTTCAGGGCTCAGGTGTCCCTTCAGGGCTCTCCCGGCTCCGGTGCGCCCCTGGTGCGGCGCGAGGCTCCCCAGACGCTCCTCCTCACTCCCAGTCCTTCACACGTGGAGGCTCGTCCTGCTGAACACAAGTGTGAATGTCATCCAGTCAGCGAAGCTTCCTTCTCCCTTCTTCTGCCACTCTTTTCTCTTTCTCTCTCTTCCCCCTCCTCCTTCTCCTTCCTCCTGTTCTTTTCACTTGTTCCCTCTGTTTACCTCCTCCTTGCTAGAGCTCACTTGCAATTCAAATGGACTCATGTGTGACTGTGTGTGTGTGTGTGTGTTTGTGTATCTGTATGTGCAATCTGAGAGTGAGGGAGCGAGTGGGTGAGTGTGAGGGGGCTGACGGTGAGGTCGCTGAATGGGGGTGGTGATGAGAAAAGAGAGAGAGAGAGAGAGAAAGAGAGAGAGAGGGAGAGAGTGTGTTGTGAAGAGCGGCGTTAGGGAAAGGGGAGGTGATGTAAAAGTTAAATGCATTCACAATACACCAGTGTCTGGCCGCCCCGATAACATCTGTATCGACGGTTTCAGACGGCATGTTGGAGGTTACGCTGTCTTTGTGCCCTTATCGCCTGCTCAGTCAGTGGCTTAATCTGCCTCTAAATGAACATGTTTAAATGGAGGAGCAGCCTATTAGACCCCTGATAGATTTATGCAAATATTTAGCGCACATCCTGGCTGTAAAATAAATTAAATGTTAAATTAAAAGAGTGGAACTGTATCCTAACCCTAACCCTTGATGCTTATTTGTCTTGTAACACTTAGTGGCTACTGACTTGGAACACTCGCTTTATGCACTGAAACACAAAGTTAAATTATTTGTATGTGAAAACCGACTTGGCAATAAAACCAATTCTGATTTGACAACAATTTATCTGCTTTTTTTTTCTCCATTCCTAAAATAGAGTAAGATAATTGTATTCTTTTCCTTGCGAGGTTTTATCGCTTCATATTGTTTTCTACACTGTTGTGTGCAGTACAGAGCTACAGCTTTAAATGATTATTTATTGTTTACTGTATCACAGTTTAGCTATCAAATGTGGATAACTGCAGTCATTCATCTCATGGTTTCATTGGATTGTAGTTGGTTTGGTTCTGTTGTGGCCTTCCTTTACACTCTGCTTTTTGACTCACGTTTCAAAGGAGTCCAAATCACAAAACACTGCAGCAGATGGTTCTGTTGTCTTTATTTTTCTAATTCCACCCATCATCTATACAGCGCTTAATCCTCACTAGAGTCGTGGGGGGCTGGAGTCTATCCCAACTGACTCAGGGTGAAGGCAGGGGACACCCTGGACAGGTCACCAGTCTATCACAGGGCTACACTTAGAGACAGACAACCAAGCACACTCACATTCACACCTACAGACAATTTAGAATCACCAATTAACCTCAACATGTTTTTGGACTGTGGGAGGAAGCCGGAGAACCCGGAAAGAACCCACGCTGCACCGCGAGAACATGCAAACTCCACGCAGAAAGATCCTGGATGTCCTCACTGGGATGCAAACTGACAACCTTCTAGCTGCGAGGCAACGGTGCTCACCACTGAGCAGCCCTATTTTTCTGATTGATTAAAGTCTTAGGGCTGCAAGGTGGCTCGGTGGTTAGCACCGTTGTCTCGCAGCTAGAAGGTCACCGGTTCGCGTTCAGGTTAGGATGCCTGGGATTTTCCACGTGGAGTTTGCATGTTCTCCCCGTGCAGCGTGGGTTCTCTCTGGGTTCTCCAGCTTCCTCCCACACAGTCAAAAAACATGTTGAGGTTAATTGGTGATTCTAAATTGTCTGTAGGTGTGAATGTGAGTGTGCTTGGTTGTCTGTCTCTAAGTGTAGCCCTGTGATAGACTGGTGACCTGTCCAGGGTGTCCCCTGCCTTCGTCCTGAGTCAGCTGAGACAGACTCCAGCCCCCCACCATCCTAGTGAGGATTAAGTGATGTATAGATAATGAATGGATTTCTAAGTCTTAGGTGAGGTCACGTTCTACACGTTTCCCGTCATGGTTTCTGCTGAAGCTGGCCCAACCCCCTACTTCTGCCACAACCGATCGTCATCTAATAAATCACAGAAAATACAGTAAATAATTACTCTGT